TATAAGTAATCCCAGTTATAAATTTCTAATTTTTTTCATACAATTATTTTGAAATAGTTGTAGTTAAAAAAAATTAATTGTGTGTATAGTCATTAAGCTTGCATAGCTTCTATGCATTATTTTTCCATTTTATTATTTTTATACTTAGACTATAATCATCATTTATACGCAGACCTATAAAATAGTTACTAGATAAAATAATAGAATCAATATCTTTGAAAATAGCTAATATTTTCTGATATATTTGATCCATTATTTGAATCTTGTAACATTCCTAACAATGATTTATGTAAAATTATATTATTAATATTATTATAATTTGTATCATTTTTGTACAAAATAAAAAAAAACAATACTAAATTTACAAAAAAAAAATTGTTAGCGTTTTATTATTTGAAAATAGCAGTGAAATTTTTTATTGAATTATTTTTAAAATGTATTAATATTACACAAATATTTATTTAAATTCAATGGTAGTTCATTAAAATGAATTTCATTTAAAAAATGAAATTATGTCATGTTTATTAGATACAATTATATTACATTGTTACTGTTTGCTTATTTATCGTTCCTATTTTTTTTGTATATAATATCGATAATTAAACGATAATGTTATATACTACAGCTATCATCAAGCCCTTTAATCTTACTTGTATAGGTAAATTACACTAACGGTTAATGTAAAATGAATTGTCAATATTTCTCATATTCAACTTGAATATTTGTAGTTTACATAATATTAAAGACATTTTTTTTTTCATTAAAATATTATTAAATCACCAATTTTTTAAAACTCAAAAACATTTTTCTTTTATACTGACACTATAGTTTTGTTTTCTAAACCAACAAGTACAAATTCATTATTTTATCTTTGGATAATAGTTACTAGTTTTGAATAGTCTTAATGATTTAATTTATTTACAAGATCTCCAAAAAAAATCATTTTCTTCATTCCCATATATTAGCTTATATAAAAAAAATGTATACCAAAACCATAAAGAATTATTTTTGTGATTATTTTAAAAAAAGATACCATAATGATGTTTCTGTGGTTTTTACCTTCAAATAATTTCGGTTATGGACCGTTGATATACTTATTTGCGCTACCTAACTAAAAACAGTCATAAAGTGATTATTCTTCAACGCTAAATATTGTTCACAGTATTAACCGTAACATTAAATATTTTAGCACATGTAAATACAAATTAAAGACAATTATTTGTTGTATGACTTAGTTTACTTATCATACAAATATGGTACATAATTTTGTTTTCACTTTAGCTCTACTATTTTCATATTTTATAACTAGATTTGAGTTATTGTATTTTTTTACATTTGAAATATTAAATAACTAATATTAATTTAATGAAAAATTTTAATAACAGCTATAACCTGGATAATTTTTATTTTTATCTAAAAAATAAAAAAAGTATTCTTTATTAAACAATATGTTATATTATAAAAATAATTACATTTTAAAAACGTAGTTTTAAACACAGTCAGCTGTAAAAAAAAAAGAAGAATGAATAACGAAGAGTTAAAATTGCTATAGTTGTTACAAGATTAAAATCGTTTAATGTAAGTATACATGAACATAGTGCAATAATTTGCACCATCCTTTCAGTTAATCTAGTTAAATCAATCTATAATAAAAATCTATGCAATTAAAATTTTTTTTAATTACATTTCCTCCAAAAATATAAAAATACACAACTACAAAATGACATGCACATTCAACTTCTTTACAGAAGCATATATGGGATTAAAATGAATTAGGTATAAGTCTATTTTTATCATTTTTCATAAGATTTAAAACTGAATTTCATTTCTATGGTTGATAACAAAGAAAGAAGTAAGTTTGAAATTTTGATTTCTCAGGTCAAACTCATTTTATCTGAAAATTGACTTGCACTACTTTTGCTTTAACTTTTATAAATTATTTGATTCCAAATATATTAATTAAACGTTTATCGAATATTACTGCAATTAGAATAATAGATTTATCATAATAATAATAATAGTGTGATTATTTTTAAAGTCATTAGCGTAATTTATAAATACTAGAGATAATTAATATAATAATCAAANTGATTATTTTTAAAGTCATTAGCGTAATTTATAAATACTAGAGATAATTAATATAATAATCAAAGGTAAAAAAAACTAATTATTTATTTATTTTAGTTTACATTTTTATTCAACTTTTGATATTATAAATATTATAAAAGGAATCTATTCTAACTTCTAAAGGAAAATTCCAAGATGAAAAATTCGTCCACGGAGATTAACTCAAATTCTCGAAATAGTGATGAAGAGTTTGTGGTACCATAGCATTACTAACTTAGCTTACTGTACCTGAATTGTAAATAGTAATCTTAAAATTAATACATATTGATGACACTTCAAATCTGGTTTACACCAATGAAAAAACCACATTTGTGGTTTATATATATATATGTTTTTTGAGCTTGATCTCGAAGGAAATTATTTTCTATGTAATTTTTGATACGTAAAATTTTATTCATATTAATTTAAACATGTACATGGATTCCAGGACTTTATTCATGCGAGTCAATATGTAAAAAAGGTCTTTATTATCAGAACTACATCCAAACCACTAATTTGTCATAAATGAGTCTTTTAGATGTAAACCTGTCTTTATACGGTTTATTACATTTAAAAGAAATCTAAAAAAAGTTTAGATTTCTAAACTACGTAATGGTAATGGGTTCCTGATACTATCATTTTATTAATTTGTGAACAAATATAAAGTTCTATTATAAAGAAGTTTAAAATTCTAACTTTGATAAATATAACTTCAGTAGTATTATAGATATACAGTTAAGTAAAACTGTTTTGTAGTTTTTGAATCTTTTTATTTAATATACTTAAAAAACATTTTTTAAAGAAATTGAACGTAAATACTATAAAATAAAAAATATTGTTATTGTATTATACAATGTTTAATTGGTGACCAAATAATAAAAAAAAATGGAGAGTAAAAATATTTATAAGAGACAATCTACTTGATGACCCTTTTAGGTATGCTTCTGGATAATTATTAGGTTTATTTTTTCTAGTAACAGAGCTAGTTCAACTAATAATAAGTAAATTATTATATATTTATGAATTTATTACACAACTAACAAAAAAATTAACTTTCCCCAATTCATTTTTATTAAAAAAACCTTACTTCTTCTACTCCCTTAATTTAATAAAGACTTATAAATTTGAAATACATTGTATTCTTAATGTTTTTTAGCTATTGAAATAAATAAAATTATAATTATTGATTTAAATTCAAGATAAAATATTACGTCAAAAAATATCAATACTATATATTTCTTACAAAAATGATAGAAGTACAAAACAAATATGTGTGTAATTTAAATTATTTTCAAAAAAGTAATTATTGTTTGGTTAATATATTTAAAAATATTTTTTTTACAAATTTCGCAAACGCTACTATATTTACTATATTTGTTTAAATTTAAGAAGATCATCTTGGCTTAATTTCCAATTTGCCTCGCTCTCCCTTAAACCATTTAAGAACTTAATAATATGGTAAAGTAATGTACATCTATCAATGGTAATATTATGAATCATATTGTAATATTTATAGATTATATCCTTAAAATTAAATCAATTATGAAACTAATTCTCTTACCATATGAGTAATTATGTGACAAATATTTATATTACTTAACAAACTCAAAACTTTATATTATTTTTAGTTAAATATTAAAACTAATGTTCTAGTATTTCTATTATTTTATTCAATTTTTAAAATAAGTTAATTATTGGATATAACTAAACTTCAGATCACTCGGAATTGTAGCCATATTTTAAATTAAAATTAAATTAAAGAACTTTAGTAAATTAAGAACTTAGATTGAACTAGTTTGTTTTTATACAGAAAAACGTATTAACTTAAATTTTAACTTTAAGATAACTACAAAAATATTAAAATAATGTTAATTTTTTTATATTTTTCTTTTTACTTAAAGAAGTTAAAAAAATATATATTTACTTATTGATCTGTTATAATCTAAAAAATATATGAAAGCTTGTACTCAACTTAACATACTATTTCCAATATAAATTTTATATAACGGTTTAAAAAATTGTCTTAACTTGTCTAACCCTATTATTTAAAAATAAAAAATTTATTAATTAAAAAAAAGTAATCTTTTATAGATAATTATTTAAGATAAAAATGTATATTTTATACAATAAAATTTATCAGAAAACTCTAATAAAACAGTATAATAAATATTTTTCAATAAAAATTTCGATAAAGTAACAGCAACCAGTAAATCATTTAAATGTAATAAATAGTTAAAATAATTTAAAATATAAAATATTACAATAGGCGTTGAATCTATCAGAAGAAAATACAACTTGTCTTATTATTAATTAATACAATCCACGTATGTTACTCGACCCAAAAATTACTTATTGCGCGACAAAGAAAAACGAGGACTCCAATAGCTCAACATATATCATCTTTTTACATCCATTTTGATTTTAATTGGAACACAAAACATGTTTTTGTATTACATTACATTGTTATTATTACCATTACGTTAGTTGATGTGTATATACACGAAGAATGGCGTGAAAATACTTGTTAGCACAGTTCATGGTTATACGGTACACAACATGTAAGACGAATTTTTAGGTATTCAATGTCTTCCTATCTTCAGACATTTTTTTAGGACTCATTGCATATAAAATACTTCACCATGTCTAATAATGCACTCTTCTTCATAATATCACATGAATCTATACAAAAAATGGAATATTCCATATTTTAAGTTATTTATTAATTGAAGCATAATTAACCATTAAACCGTCAAAATAGTATATAATATATTAGAATATTATTGTTATATTTACAAATATAAGATTAATTTTTAGTAGGGGTATACAGTAGGGGTAATAACTACTACTGTCTTCTATCTTACAGTCATATGACGACGTCTTTACCACCGTTACCTCTTACATTCGCTTCGGTGTTACAAGTCGCGGACTTGATCAGTGCAAAGAGCGTTCGCGAACCGTCACGACTATACGCTCCTCGCAACCTACCGTAGCAATGATTGTTTATAGATACGACTACGATACGCGCCGACGACAATTACAATTGTTATTGTTGACATTAAAACTATAGGATATAGTGAGTGATAAGGAAATATCAGTCATGCTGTCAAGGAAAGTTGTCAACTATAATACAATTAAGACTATGTTTTTGCTGTTGCTGCTACTGGAATTCCGGGACATAGATGCTTCATCTACATTTAAATCTTTAAAGAACGACGATGCTTCAGTTATGTGGTCTAAATTTGGATTAATTGTCCAACATTACACAGACTCAGGTGATGGTTTGCAGCAGCTTACACATACCACTGAAACATCAGGTATAATTATTAAGGCACCTGAACCTACACCGATTATTGAAACGCGATCACCTCTAACGCCGATTAAAGACTCACATGCTGAAGCTAAGTCTTGGACTCAAATATCAGTGACTCCTCCACCGCGGACTACATCATCAGCTATAATGATGGCTTCTACACCAATCAAGTTCTCATCGGGGTTTACTAATACTACGAAAGACGTAACCTCAACCCAACCTTCTTCAAGTACTCCAGTATCTCGAATGGTACCTTCTAAATATAGACCAATGGATGGTTCATCAAAACCCGTCATTACCATAACTTTTCCTCCGCCTACTAATACGGTAAGACCTTCTGAAAGTACAGAAGTAACATCCAAAAGAGTAAGACAATATGACGATGAAGATGATGATGATGACGATGACGATGACGATGATGAAGATGAAGATGAATATGATGATGACAATATTAAAAGTGAAGAAGAAATAGAAGAGATTGTTGAAGTACAGCATTTAGATCCCGAAAGTAAGTATTAAAATTTAAAATACATATATATATATATATATATATATATATAAATTATATTAATTTTTACTAGACATTTTTTCTCTTAATATTATAAAAAGAAAAGCAATGCGCATCTGCGTTTTGGTTGATTTGATTAGACAAATGCAAATCATTCAACCATCAAACTATCTGTGATCCGAAAAATTACACAGAATATTTGCTTTTGTCCAAAGAAAGTTATATACGTTATTACAATGACAGTAAAAATAATAACCAATAAAAAAAAAAACATTTATTTACGACTGTGGGTAAGTATTGGTTTGTGGTTTCGACCTTGTATAAAGTAATGAATCTGTAAACTAGTACATTTTTTAGTTTTATTGATACTATCAAGATGGTTGAACCGTATATTGAAATTAAGCATTATATTAGTTTTTATATAGCTGTTGTTTTGGATTTACAACTAATTAAATTTAATTAAAACAAAGAGTGAAGCAATTTAGATTATCAGGATTTGATGTATTAATAAATCAAACAGCATTATTAAATAAAAATTATAATATTATTTGACAAAATAGTAATTTACAATCTAAAAGTGTTCATTCTTAATAAAATATCATGCCGCTCATAGAAGTTTGTGAAAACAAAAATATGATAGTTTTACTATTAAGAATGACACGATCATTGTTTTCTCATTTAACGGTAATAAACACTCTCAAGCTATGGACACTGGTTTTTGGATAAACAAAAATGGTGAGTCAGGATTTTAACGACAGGGATAATCTACTGGTTGAAAACGGACAATAAATGGACTCGACGATGAGTCGACTTTCTAAATAACACGCTTCTTCAGTAATGCGCGTTGTATGATTTTGTTATTTTTCTTACTCCATCTGTACTTACCAGCGTCTCATAATGCAAAAACAACACTAACTGTACTACTTTAAATTAAAGAAACTTCCATGACTCTGCACATTTACGAATGATAAATATTATTTTAAACGACAAATAATTACAATCGACCTAGTGGACTTCTGTGTAAATTATTCTACGTATAATATTCACTTTTTTCAATCATTTGTTTTCCTTTGTTGAATTAATTGAAAATATAATTATATCGATTTGTATGATACTCGTTTGCAGGTTATGGAGAGGAAAAACCAACGATATTAAAAAAAAAGCGCAGGCGAAAAAAACATGGCAAAAAGCACAAGCCATTTAAAGTCAAGGACTTCAAAAAATTAAAAAAATTTATGCTTCCATTACTTTTAGCATACAAGCTTAAATTTTTCACTCTGGTACCACTAATGTTAGGTGGTTTAGTACTCATCGTAGCCACAACGGGGTTCGCTGGTTTTTTCTTTGCTCTGTTTGCTGTTGGACTGGGTCTTAAAGGAGGTCGTTAAGGATCTTAACGGAAAAAGTATGTTTAATTTGATACACTATACTTTTATCACGTGAACTTAAATAATACATAATTTTTTTAATTATATAGAAATAATTACTTTATTTTTTTAAATTCAGTTTGTATATTTATTAAAATAGAGGAATATTCATGGTGAATAAAAAATTGTTCATAATTTCTAATTTTGCTTTACCAAATTACATTAGTTTAAATTATAATAATTTCAAACTCTTATTTAGATTTTAGATATATTTTTGAACCCTCAAAAAAAAAACCTAAAATTTAATTGTTAAATTAATTTCATAATATTCAATGTATAATTTACTGTGTCGTCAAAATATTATCGCATAAACAGAAAGAATTTCGTAACAAACAACCCCAACATATCATGAGATTATTTTATGTCATCCGGTAAAAAATAATCAAAATAAAACAATGACCGTGGTATGTTAGATATCTAATAATTGTTTAAATCAAGTTATTATTGTGTATAATTGGTAATCGCAAGATTACAAATTTGCAAAACAGTAATTGGCTATTTTAATGTCGGTCTTTTTCGAGAGCAATGACGTTGGCCTCATAGGAAATAATAGTTTTTCCTGTGAGAGCATCACAATTTACTAATATGAAAAGTAAAAATATCTATTTTTTATATATACATATTGAAAAAATCATTATAGATACATAATTATAATGAGACTACCTTCGAAATATTAATTAATCTTAAAATTTAACATGATAAGGTCAAAAGTTAGGTTATGGTTTTAACAGCGATTTCATAATATTTTTGGTTCTACAATTATTAACATTACTCAAAAAATTATTTTTTTAAAAAATCGCTATAGGTCAATTGACTGACTTACTAGATATAATAAAAAACATTTGAAATGATTTATTTATTGTAATAATTATAATTTTTAATAAATTCCAAGTTAATTTTTTTTCTTTAAAAATCATTTAAAATGTAAGTATAAATGATGTATAAAATTTATATTAAGAGTAATGGGATATTTTTTTTTATTTAAAATTAGTCAACAGTTATTTTACAGTTTTAATGTTTTACATTGCATTAATTTTTAGTTGTTACTAAGGTGGACGAGAATTGCACATAGACTTACAGGTCCATTGTACGCATAACATTTACATTAACTCAATTTATATACAATTATATTTTGTTGACCAATGAAAAGTTAAATATTTTTCTATTTATCTTGATCTTCTAAATATTGAAATGAGAGAATTTTTTTACTGACGTAATTTAATTATTTCATTATTTCTTATTTATAATTTAGTTAAATCGATGGAAATATTTAACAATTATTGTTAAATATTTCCATCGATAAATAATTATTATTTATGAAAATTCATGCAACCTAAAAGAGTTTACTATTTATCAAATTATCATCTAAATATCAAATAAAATTATGACATTAATTCGATTTTGAGATGCTCATAAGTGATGTCATATTGTTTTCAAATTTAGTAATCATTTATTTGCTAAGTATGTGACAGAACAAAATAATGTTTAATGAAGTTTCATAAAATTTATAATGGGGGAATTATTCAAAAGCTGATATGTTACAAAAATATAATTTAAAATTTTTTTTACAATATATAGAAATTAATTTTCTTACAATTTAACAAAAACAAGCAGGTCTAAATAAATAAGGTTTGGTTGATTTTTTTTGCACTTGAATATTTTGTTAGAATCAACATATATTTAAAATTTGCTTTTGTACTCTAAATAGTTTTTTAAAATTGATGTTGATATTTCAACTTTATCATTAGACATTTTCATATGAAGTTTACAATTGACATCCAATTAAATTTTGTTTCAATAAATCATTTCTTAAAACTTTCCCCTTTCAAAAAATAAAAAGTATAAAAATTTATTTGTGTGAGCATCAAAAATGATTACTTTACCACCAGATTTTTTTAGACCTATAAGAAAATTGATTCTTGATTTCTATTTCATCGTGTGGTATGTGGTTCTGGGTAATTTAACTTCAAAAGAATTTCACTTATACATGTCGAAATTTTTTTTATTATAAATCTAAATTATAAAAAAACTTACTATTGAGTATAATTGTTCTATTGTCTGTGTTTACCGTGGCTTTAATCTTCACTGAATTTAATGTTCTGACAAAAATATTATCAATATTCGTTTAAAATAGTACTGTATTTTTTTTTGATATAATAATTTCAAAAAACATCAATCTTGACTTACAAAATATATTATCAATAAATTTATAATGAAAATATAACCATCTAAATACTATTATTTTTTTGTATATCATTTTCATTTAGTTCATAAGTTAAAGATTAACTGATAATTTTGTTTAAATATAAAATGCATTTTTGTAGTAGGTTCAGCCCCTAACAAAATGAAACATTAAGGTGGCCAAAAAAAAGTCAATTAGTAGTTTAATTAATGTGTTCTGAATACATCTAATAATCGTAAAACAAAAGTTCATCTCAAATAGTATTACTTCATCACAATTAGAACTTTATTTTGAATTGTTCACAACGTAATTTATTTCAATAAATTTCAATAAATAAATTTCAAAATTTCAACTGATGTACAATTGTTTATTTTTTGAACTAGACATATAAGTAATAACAAAAGAATATTAGTTTGGAAATAATTCTAAAGGTCCCCAACGTACGGGTACTTTATTCATTATGTTCGGTTATGGTCTATTTAACTCATCGCTTCTATTTGAACGACCTGAATTTATATAGATATACCTTTTATGTGTTGACTATTATTCTTGAAATTTAATAAAAAATAATAATATCGTTAGTGTTTATAGATAGATATTACTATTAGAGTATTGTTATTACTGCTATAAATAGTAGGCCATCAATAGATTATTAATGAAATAAAATATTTTTTTTATGTTAATAAGTGTATTAGTTAGTATAATTTAAGTGTAAATGGATAATATCACAATCAATTAATGTTTTGAATTATTTGAAACACTAAATAAAGAAATTTTAATCTTAGAATTATTATTATTAATTTAAATGAAAACGTTAGATTATTTCTGTAGTTATTATACAAAAGCTAATAAATCAATTTTAGACGTTTTTGAAGATAGCAAAAACAAATTAAAAATGTTGACAAAGTCTATGTAAATTGAAATTTTTGAAGTTTAAAAAACATATCTCACTGTTCAAATTTAGTCGTATTTTTTTAATACACTAAAAAAGCATCTTTCTTTACACACATAATTAAAAACTCAAAAACTCATTTTCTGATATAGAAGCTTATAAATGTGAACTACAGATTATAAGTTTTATATTTACTAAGTTTCTGAACCTAAAGCTTTCGAAAATTAATTTTTCAAAGATGTTTCAATAACTATTATTATTATTTGTCAAACACTTATCTAATATCACTGTGTGCAATGAATAAGGCAGTCACTCAAAAAATGCAAGTTTAAGATTATGAGGTATTTTAAATTAGGTTTTACTCTTATTAAAATAACTTTATAACCCTTTAAGTGTCATGGTATACTATTGTACATTCATTTTTTTTGTAACTGTAAATTCAAATTAAAACAGTGCATTCAATAACATAAGGTGTTAAATTATGTAAACAACAAAATTTAATCATTTTTTCAAACTTATATTTTAATGTGAAAAATAGATTTCTCTAAAATCAATAAAAAATTAATTTTGAGCCATTTGAATAAAAAATACAAAGTCGATTGTAAGAGTTAAAAAAATAAATATTTAATCATTTTTAAAATTCTCATTAATAAAATCTTACCAATTCATTCTATATTATCTACATTAAACCTTTATAAATTACATCTGATATGTTGAACTATATACTAATTATATTTTTGTATAAATTTTTTTGTAATATATTATCATTGAAATTTATTCATTTACATTAAATTTATTTCTTGTTTATTCTCCACAAAATTAAATATTGTAAAATTACTTTATTATTATATTATCGTATGATATAAAAGTAAAAATTATTGTTATTATAGAAAAAAATATGTAGGCTATTCGGTGTTAATTATATTTGTCACGGAGTAAAGTGTAAACTATTTATTTTAAATTCCGGTAGCATTGTACGGCACTAGCTTAGTTTCAATGCAATTTGATTCGGATATTGTTAAAAATATAGTTGGTCTAGAAGTTTAAACAAACCAAACTATGAAACATATTTAATCAATTATTAAAGACTCTAAAAAAGCGAGTTTGACATTAGATCCTGTGATCTGTTTTCTCATAGTATTTTTTTTTATTAAGTTAATATTTATTATTTAAATGTCGCACACATAAAACCGTTATCTGTCGCTTTTCTATGTCTATGTTGATGGTCTAACAAGGCAATAGATACTTTTTTAACTATTATAGTTTTCATCACATCCGTTTTTATAGCAATTTTGTGTAGGTTCACATAATATAAAGGATTCCTAAACTCCCATTTTGGTTCAGCAACTGTCGGAATTATGACAGTTAAATATATATCATAAAAACATACGTGAGCGAAAATATATTTTCTCTAATAAAAATAACTGCATTTGCAATATTTTTATACTACATGGTAATTTATACACAATAATTTTATACGTTTTCAGATTTTCTCTATTTAGGATCCATCACAATAACTATGATAATGATGAAGTTGTCACAGTATCGCATACTATTAAAGCAAACACCAAAAGACCGAATATCGTTTTTATATGATATTTGCCAGTCACCATTGCTCAAACTATAAAACAATTTAAGTTTAATTATTTTATTATAATAAAAATTATTTTCATTAATTTAATTTTAAAAATCTTAGATAATTCTTAAATAATATTATCTAGTTTTGAACAAATGTGTAAATAATGAATTACTTTAAATAAAATAATGTAACAATATTTTATTTATTTACTTACATAAATATATTGTACAAAATATTTTATAAGTTTTATTTTTAAAGCTGATCATATTCGTAGTTAATTTATTTTATGTACAGTGATTAAACTATAAAATTAAAATTTATAGTCAGCTAAAATTAATATAATTTGAGGGGTCTAATATGTATGGCTGTGTCGTATAGATAATGCAATAAATGTAATGTTAATTGGATCGTATTAATTTAAATGATTTAAACCATGTATTGCCATTATGTATACTTTTTCAAAGTTCATTAGATTTTGTAATCTACAATTAATTATTTTCTAATACTTAGTTTAGCATTATTTTGAACTTTCTTCAATTTTCTATTTCATTTAAATTTTAATATCAAATAATTTGAATGAAAGATTCTTATTTGTATAATTATTTAAACTTAAAATTCTATAACTAATTTTATTTATCAACAACACGTTAATATTTCTCAAATTATAAGTATTATGTTTTTATCGTAAATTTTAAAACTAGAGAATTTCTCTTATAAAATATATTTAATACTTTAAGTAATATACCTTTAATTTTCACAATCATTATATTTGTCTTATGTAATAATTTGCCAAATGTATATTTATATTTGTATTTAAAAATTATGAAAATATTATATATCCTCATTTTTAATTTAATATTTAATTTATTTCAAGATTTAAATTAATATAAATAAACCCAGCACAAGGGGGTCGCGGCACAGTGATGACGTGGCATAGTTAGATCAAGTATAATGATATCTAACAGTGATTAAAATCACTATCATAAAAAACGAATCGATGTAAATCTTTAGATAGTATTTAATTTAAAAAAAAATGGTGGATTATTCCAAAAGCTACATGATCTGCTATTTCCTTATTAATATCCTGATCAATATAAAGTATGGCAAATGAAAAAGGGATATAAATATTATTTCTCATAAAAAAATTATATTGATACATAAACTTTGCAATAAGTTATAGCATAATAAAGTTAAAAATGTAAAATACAAAATCGAGAATTTTCACACAAAAATAACATTCGGTGTCCATTTTTACCATGAAGACAAAATAAAGTCCAAAATTTGTTTTTTTCATAATAAAGTATATTACATTACCTTTAATTTTATAAATTATATTAAATTTATAATCAATATAATTAAAATAAATATAATTTAATTTAATTATATTGATTTGATCATTTTTAAAAAAGTTATAGCAGTTTTAAGTAAAAAAAATTGAAAAAATTTCGAAAGTAGCAATTTTTTAATTTTTAATTATTTTGAAGGTTTCCCCCATTTATTGGGAACGAGGGAAATTTTTTCAATTTTTGAGGGTAATGTCTTTGACTAGATACGATTTGTGATCTTTTAACGTTTCGTTGAAAGAAAGCGTTCCAGTGAATAGCTGAGAAAAAATAGTAAGAGATACAAAAAAAAAAAAAAATAAAACACATCATAGTAAAACCAATACCTTCTCAGCTTCTCATCGAAACTAAAATTAACACAATTTAGGAAATTATTACTTAATATTTCATCTTCAAAGCTTAGAAGGTATTAATTTTACTATATAGTGATTTTTTTTTCTTTTTTTTTCTCAGCTCTCACTGGACAGAACACTTATTTTTGACACAATACGTCAAAAGATAAATAGTATCTAATAAATAAAATGTAAGAGTTAAAAATAAATATTTTAAAAAGCATTTTTGTAGCTTTTAATGTATTTCCAATAAGTATATTAAAAGAATAAAGGTTTCATTGTAATTAGGACTACGATGTAGAAACTTGTAATCACGATTTAATTAAAGAAAAAGGAATTTATGTAGCTTTTGGAAAAATAAAACAATTTTTTCAAAAAATTATACACTATCTTCAGATTTTCATTGAAGCATTTTTCGATAAATATTTTTAACACTGTCAGATATCATCTATACTTGCCTTAACTATATTATAACTCCACTGTGTTATCGGTTTTTTTATACTGATACTTAATTAAATTAAAAATTAGTTTAATGTTATTTAGATAACTCGCATAATTTTTTTTATACATTTAATCAATGTAATAATCTATGATTGATATTACATATTTTTTATTTAAATTTTTAGCCATTTAGAATGGCTTAGTCAAGTAAGTTAGACAGCCTAAAATATCTCATTAAATATAAAAAAATAATTTTTATAAACGAGGGCACAGTTTTTAAGAGCATAAAGCTTGTAATGTATCACACCCTTATTATACTATGAGTTTTCTATTCTTAAGAGTAGTGACAGTGGTGTGTATTTAATAGTTATATTTAAGAGTCTTGCATTATTTTATGCGTTTTATTATCTTGCTATCTTGATTTTTAATTTTATAAGAAACTCAACAATAACTTTAATCAGAAATTAGTGATGTTACCCTATTAACAGAAATTTCATATGCACAGCACGTTGTTATTTTTAAGTAGAATTCTTGCTAATATTAATTACCAATAAATATAGTTTTTTTTTATTATAAATGGGTTTATGTATGTCCTTTTTTTGATTTTAAATTATGATGAATTTCATTACACTCAATTGTTTGAAGCCACTGAAACATTTAATTCACGCATGATTATCTGACAATGAGATCATGCGAAGACGATCGACCACAATGGATGGACGTTAGTGGTGCGCAATTCTAAGCCGTATAAAATGAAAATTATACTTAGTTGATCATTCATTTATGTTTAACAACACTTTTATTGCCGATTGCTGTAAGATTCTGTGTAATTACGCTAAAAATGAACGCTCAACAATTTGTGTTATTACTTATTATTTTTTGGTCGTACGAAGTCCATTCAAATCAATTGACATCAATATTAGATAAAAGTGAAAAATGTGCTCAAATTGTGGATCTATGGCCCTGTTTAAAGGAAGTTGGTGTTAAAGTTGTGCAAACCATATTGAACCATCAAGGTGAAATACCATTGTTGGGATCATACTTATCCATTATACCCAATAAAGAACAATTATCAAGTAATCAGGGAACAAATATATTTAATATTTCAACAGATTCCTTTAAACTTGTTAATTTTATGAAAAAAAAACAATTGCGTTTAATATTACCAATGAATACCATTTCTTGGTTAATCGGAGAACAAATAAATGAAGGTAGAGGGAAAAAAGGTTCAGGAATTTTAATGCTTGGAGGAATGATGATGATGACAACATTAATGGCCACCGCATTTGGTGTGTTAGCACTAATGGCAGGCAAAGGTTTGTTAACTAGTGTTGTGGCACTTATGTTTTCTGCTATAGCAATTTCAAAAAAGAGTGGTCATGGTCATGCTAGAACCACATATGAAATCATAGATGCTCCTCAAGATGTCGGTCAAAAGTATATGCACAGCATTGGCCCGATAGTTTCAGATGTAAGTCAAAATTTCCTTTTCTCATAATCATAATTATCGATAGAGGATTAATAAATATGAAATTTAAAAAACTTTATTAAATTATCATTTACACTTACGAACCCTAAAAATAAAATATTATTTTATATTTATTTTATCCTCATAATATTATATTACATATTTTATAGGACATACATAACATATATAAATGAATGATATATACAATATGATTTATTAAGTATATTTCCCCAATTTTTTATTAAGTAGTGATATTTTTTATAAAAATGTGTGGATTAAAATTTAATTTATTTTATAAACCATTGTAATTGTACAAATTTTTGTAAAGTAATATAAAGGGTAGAAAAGAATTAAGGATATCATAAGGGTAGAATTTAGGGCTAATTTTCGAAGTATAAACCTATTATTGAACCTATTATTATTTGTTTAACTATTAAACTGAGAATGGTCTAAATAAAATTACGATAAGTTAATAACCAGTGTAGTAAAATAAACAATAATAGGTTCCCATTTAATTTTTAGAGATACCCATAAAATTACCAAAAGTTTTATTACTTTTAATTAATGAAAAAAATACTATATTAAATTTGTTCACTTAAAAGTCTGCAGTATATATAATTTAGTAAACTTTTTTATAATTCTTGTCTAAGTACATATAATTATCTGTATCTAGTATTTTAGTCACAACAAAATATACTTAAAATTCAATGTGCTTCTCTTAAAATAAATTGAAGTCAAAAAAACCCAACACAGTGGGTACGTGGCATAGCTAGGTGCAGTATATATGATAGTTGATATTAATTAAAATCACTATCATAAAAAACGAATCGATGCATATCTATATATAGTGTTTAATTTTAAAAAATTAGTAAATTATTCCAAAAGCAACATGATCTCCTATTTTCTTATTTATATCCTGAAATTTTATGATTCATAAGTGTAATATGTGTATAAATATTTATTATAGCAATTAAATATAGTATAAAAATGATATTCAATAAATTAGTATTGTAATTTTTACGGAGCAATTATAAAATATTATAGAGTAGTTATTACGTTTATGGCAAACGTATATAAAAGTTGAAGATCTTGATGCAATACTTAAAAAAAAAAATTATTTGTTATTTATAAATAAATATACTGGTCTACTATGAATTGTTATCTGAGACCAAAATATACTTATCTAAACCCATTTTTGCGCCGATTTCAAATTTACAATTAGAATTTCGAATATGGCCTAAATAATAACAAAATCCTTCTAATTGATATAACAAATTTTTATATTTGATAATTGGAATACGTTTGAATAATCAATAAATATATTTTAATTAAAAATAATTAGAAAAAGTTCATTATTTATATGCAATTTTAAGTTTTGACCCCCCCCCCTGTATAAAGGGAAATGGTCCTATTAAAAAAAAGTATGCCGAATTAAAAAAGTATATAAATAGTATGTCTCTTAAAAAAATTGTATTGATACATAGATTATTCAAATAGTTATAGAAATATAAAGTTAAAAATGTATAATAGAAAATCGAGAATTTTAACACAAAAATAACATACGGTAGTCATTTTCACTGTAAAGACAAAATGAAGTCCGAAATTTTTTTTTCATAATAAAGTATATACCATTAGCTTTAATATAAGATATGTATAATAGAGTCAGTATTTCAGGAACACATTCAAAAGTTAAGTTGAAAAAGTTTTCTTTTTGAATTCCTCCTCTTGGCAGGCAAATGGTTATATTTATAAAAAATATATACGACATTTTAGGTAATTACCTCGTGTATCTATAAAAAATTATATACATTTAGTCATTTTTTTTAGAGATTTCCCCCATTTAAAAATCAAAAAAATTACAACATTAAAAATAAGTAATTTTCGACATTTTTTCACCTTTTTTACTTAAAACTGTCATAACTTTTTGAAAAATGGATGAATAGAACAATTTTTTTTTATAGATACATTAGGTATTTACTCATCATTTGGTATATATATATATTTTAAATTTGACCCTTTTGAATCCCTCCTATGAATGCCCACAGAGGATTCAAATTGATAAATTTTCCACAAAAAATTAACTTAATCAATAAAATTTTTGAAAATGTGTCCGAAAATATTGACATTTTTATACATATCTTAAATTAGAGCTTATGTAATATACTCTAGTATGGAAAATAAAATGTCAAACTTTACGTACTAAATTTCATAAATATTATATAAATATAATTTTACTATGATGTGTTTTTTTTGTGTCTGTTATCACTTCTTCTCAGCTCTCACCGAACCGATTTCTGTCAAAGATACGTCAAAAGATCACAAATCGTATCTAGTCGAAGAGATTATCCTCAAAAATTGAAAAAATTTCCGTTGTTTCCTGTAAGTGGGGGAAGTCTCCAAAAAAATTTTAAAAATCGCTAGTTTTCATTCAGAGCATTAATTTTTTTAAATTAAACACTATCTAGAGATTTTCATTGAATCGTCTTTTATGATAGTGATTTTAATCACTGTAAGATATTATATATACTGGACCTAACTATGCCATGTACCCATTGTGCTAAGTTGTTTTTTTTAATACTAATACGATTTGGATTTTGATTTTAGGCAAATCATCAACCTTCAACTGAACCAATTTTATATGGAAATCAACAATACGAATAAAAAACTAAAATTTTATATAAAGTAAAAAGTGTATTTTTAATAATTTATTTATTTACTTATCATAAATTATGAATTAACAAATAAATTAATTCATTATTTGTTATTTATATTTTTACTGTGTAATATTTACTAAATACTTATTTTATGTTTAATCCATTATAATCATCAAACCATTGTGTGATTCTTCTGTTTTTGATGATCCTGAATTTTCTTTATTCCAATTCATAAATACCAAAAATTTCGTAATAAAAGTGAACAATAGCGCTTTAGCTAGAACCAGGGTTATGGTTTTTAAAAATAAAATTATTAATGATACACCTGATATCAAAGTGGTGCCAACCATTAAATTTATGGACGTTTTCTTTTTTTTATATTTCTTTCCTCTTCCTGCATTATCACATAGTTATGTAAATTTCATTTAATTAATTAAATAATTATATTATGCTATTACCTTCGATGAAATCAATGTCACTTTTGTTATTACATGCTACAAAATCCAGCGTGAATAATTTTGTCGATTTGAAATCAGTATAACTGGCTAAACATGAATTTTTTTCGTCATGCATGATGCTAACAAAATAATACAACCAGAGCAAAAGTAGACCTATATACTTCATTGTTTTATTTATAATAAAATAACTTTAAATGTAGAGTAAAAATATTATGATATTTTGTTTTTTGTTATGTTAATCAGTCATCACTTATTTTTTTGTGGTTTGAGGTGTCATGCGTGTTCGAACATTTAGGCGATTGAAAGTAAATGGATATCAAACTATAGGTACCTTAATTCCAAATATTTAAGAGCTAAATTAAAAATTCGAAAGTCACATATAAATAACAAGTGCGACATCCATTAAGTTCAGTTCAATTTCAGTTTACAATATGTTCCTAAAGTTGTATTTTGTTTTTACACTTCTTTTCCTAACTGAAGTATTCGGTGATTCTGTAAATCCCTCTAACCTTCACGCTTCATGTATAAAAAACTACAGTCCAGGAGTATGCTTGATCAAAAATTTATTAAAAAACGTTTACATTTATTTAAGTCAATCTAACGAAGCAAATAAAGATGTGAAAGTATCTGAAAATGCTACAAAGGAGCCAAAAGGCATCGAAAATTATATAATATCACAAATGCAAAAGGTCTTTAGTTTATTTTCTTTTGGATTAGAACTTCCAGAAATACCATGGAGCCTACTGAAAGTATCTTTTTTAGACTGTAAGTATTTTTTAAAATATAATTTTATTTCTAATAACAATGCATCGTGTATAAATTTTAATATTAATAATTTTAATTAATTTTATATTTTGCCCGTTTATTCTTTAAAAAAAAAAAAAAATAGAAATGTATATTAATTTGTAAATTTTATAAGTTATTTGCCAATGAAAAATTATGTACTTGTTTTCAAAAATGAAAAGTCACACAAATTAGTTATGTAGTTTTATTAATTATATTAATAGTTTTATAATTATTAACATCATTATACGTAAAAAATTGACAAGTCAAATTTAACGAGGTTTATTTTTGCATTTCAAAAATAATGCAAATAAATTTTATTAAACACCATATATTACAACATTACTGTAATAATGTTTAATTAATTTTTTTATTGCTGAAAATTGACGTAATTGAAATTTTATTCTTCAAATTTGAAGAATAGATACAGATATTAATTCATCATATACAAAGTGAATAAAGTATTGAAACTATTTTAGTGATATTATTTAGAAAAGTACATTAATATACTAATTTCAATACGTTTTATACAATTAAAAGTTTTTTTTTTTTAGCAAGAGGTAAAAAAAACAAAAATCTTGGACCAATGATTGCTGCTGGTGCTGCTGTTATGTTTGGTACTCTAATGCCATTAGCATTCGGTGCTCTATTTATGCTAGCTGGTAAAGCTATTATGACTAGTATGTTGGCCATTACCATATCTGGTTTATTGGGTCTTAAGTCACTATTTAGCAAGCAGGAAGGACACTACAAAGCTTACATGTCAGTACCTGCACCAGTAGCTGGTCACTACTCTGAACAATACGAACAAGAAGAATTATACAAGGGACAGACGGAAGCTAAGATGCATTCTGGATTCTACGCTGGTGAAAATTCTGCTCTTCAATCAGCAGCCGGATATTACAAACGCGAGCAGCAGAGCAATGGATCTGAAGTTAATCCAGATTATTATGGAATTAATGTTAATTATGAAAAACCAAAACATATTAGTAACAGTAGTAACAAAAATAATGAAATTGTTCCTTGACATTTGTTTTTCGTAAACTGGACTTCTAAATGTTAATATATTTTCAATTATCTTCATATTTATTTATTTTATTGTTAACTATAAATATTATACAATTCTGAGACACATGCATTTATAGATGAGTATTGTAAAATCATTATGCATATACATTTTCAAATAGTTTTTACATTAATATTACAGAAATAATTTTACAAGAATTAAGTAATAATATTCCAACATGTGTTGTACCACATTATCAATTCTTCAGGATTATATATTTGAAAAAAAATAATTACAATAGGTCTAATACAAGAAATTATTTTCTAATAATGGTGTTGTTAGTCAAGATATTAACTTCAGTAATTAATTTCTTAGTTTTTCCGTAATGAACAATACGTAACAATGAAATACAAAAAATAAAATACTAAAAAAATTTTCTTTACTAATTTTTTGAACATAATATTTTTAATTTATTTAAACACGTGTAATATAAATATAAGTACAAATTTATGATATTCTCTAGATTATATTGTTCACAAAATATTTAATAAATCCTAATGATATTAGTAAAACACATGAGTATATTTATAAGTTTCTTAATTAAATAATAGTGAAAATATATAAATAATTATTCAAATATAAAATATCTCTTACAAAAAATCAACACAAACGAATTTTCAGTCATACGTATATATCCGAATTAAGAAATTAGAGGTCTTGAACACAACATTTAAAGTAGGACTATCAATCAATGATCATTCTATTTTTTGCTTATATATTTTATTTTATTATAATAATAATATGTATATTGTAAATTTTAAAGTAGCAAAAATCTAAATTGATTATATAAAAAATAAAATGTTCTATTGTTAGTAAAAATAAATATATTAAGATTCCCACAAAAACTTTCGATTCTATCACTGGCTCATATTACATTAAAATCTAAGCTAATTTTAAAAAACCATTAAATTATTTACTTATTGGATCTTTAAATTTAGGTAAGTAATTAAAAAATATAAAAAATTGATACATAAATAATGTTGAACGTTTCAAAAGGGTAACAGAAATATAACTTTTGATTTTTTCAAATTATATAATTATCTCATTATGATGATCTAATAATAAATAATCAATAAATTAACTCATATAATAGATTTTTAATAACAAAATATTATTTCCAACAACTTAGGTTTATAAAAATAAATTAGTAAGAGGTAGTATTAAACATTATACCTTCATTAAGTTTTATTTAATTATTTTTATCAATAAACTAATATATATATAGTTTAGTTACAAATTAGAAATCTAGGTATTAACGTATTTATTTAAAAAGATAAGAGTGTCAGATTCTTCTTATTAATTGAAAATTTCATAAAGTGGATATAATTTTTTTTTTCATTAAGTATCAATAATAAAAATTGTTATAAGTGTACCTTTACTTAATATCAAAATTATATTCATCATTATCCAGATAAACATCTTTTATTAATTATGAGAATACAGTGCTGTTACATCTATTGGCATTCCATAAGCTAAATTATGAGCTAACGATCGACCATGACCATGTATTGGATGAGATGGAACATTTATTACTTCATATGAAGCTCCTTGGTGGCCGCCTCCACCACCACCGGATGCCAATTTCTTAAGCGCAAGAATTGCAGCCAATGTGAGAGCTAACATACTGGTCATAAGAGCTTTGCCACTCATCATTGCCAACGCACCAAGTTTTATAGGTAACAATGTACCAGCAACCATCATAGCTCCCATTAGTAGTGGACCAGTGTACTTATCTTTTTTCCCTCTAGCTAAAAAAAATAAAAATAAATTGTGTATTATAATATTTGAAAGTATCCAATATTCGACAAAGAGTTCAAAAGAAATTTATTCAAATTGACATGTAAATATTTATAATTAATATCACAATAATGTATTTTTAATAAACACTGAAATGGTCAAATAAATTCACATCTGACAAACAAATTCTAAGGGTTATATTTTTATGATCTAATCAAAACTATGAGTTTATTTTTTAGGATTAACCCGTATAATAATAATATATTTTCAAATATAACTTTGTGAGTTGTTCACAAAATCAAATGTATACCGAAAGAAAAATAAAAGTACAATATAATTTTACTATTTTTAAATAAGACCAGGGAGTTATTACTCAGTTTACTCGTGAAGTTAACTATTTGGGAAAATAAGCAGTAGATGTATGAAAAACAAGCTTTCATCAATAACTATTATGTCAATTTTATTTTATTTTAGTTTTTAATGTATTCTATGATGATTTTCTGATTAGCAAAAAAAAAATTAAATTTAAAGTAATTGTTTTTAGCGTTTTTATCTTATGAAATAAATAATTACCGACATTTTAAAACTTAAAGTAGCTACAGATAATATTATAAAATGCATTTCATTAACACGACAAATAATAGGATTCTATACGACCAAAAAAAATATCTTCAAATGTATTGCAAGTACATTTTATGATTTCATATATCTAACACAATACTGTATATAAAAATTTATATGCATTGTAACAAGAGTAAAATGATGTTCCTCTAAATAAAATGGATATTAAATAACGTGCTAGTTTCAATTTTAGTAACATCAAATCAATGCTAGCTAATGTTTAAGTATACAAAAATTATGTAAAATTTAATGAATTTGATGTTTACCTTCAATTATAGCTGATTTCAAAGATTCCAATGTATCAACAGGAGCTTTAAGGTTGATTGATCGAGTCTTGATAAATGAAATCATGGCGTCAACAATAGAAGAGTTATTTTGTCCTATACTTCTTTCGTTTAATTGATCTTCACTATTATATTTAATTAGCGTGATATACCCAGGTACTACTTCGATAGGATCTGAAGACTCAGTTAAAGATTTCATCCCAATAATAACTTTATCCATCAAACATTCCATCACACTTGGCATACTAGCACATTTAGACACGGTTTTAAAAGCAGCTAACTTAAAATCTGTCATTGTCCTAGTTGTAACTAAAGCATTTGATTGAAGCACAAAAAATCCGGCGACAGTAATGGCGCGTAACATAATAACTGAAGTCGACATTGCGAATATTATGAATTTAGTCAATACGAATTATTGCTATTTATACAAACAGCAGTTATAAACTTAAGCTATCCAAGAAACATATCTTGGTTTTTTAACGATGATGTTTTCAATTACTTGTGGCTAATTTTGACCACAAACGCGTCCCTCCGTGACCAACTGAAAGTACAAATCAAATAAATCCATACGTTAATACAGTGAATGTTAACTATAAAAAAACTGTTTGTTTAAAAGGTGATGGTAAACAAGAAATATGCATTTTAGTGTCATACGTGATACCAACATATCAATTTTATAAAGTGATTATCTAGTTCACATTAGCATAGTAATACATACCTTAAATAAATTTATAACACCGATAATTTCTTTCACTGTTTCAAATTTATTAAGATATTAAAATCACATTTTATTTCATCATAATTGTACCAGTTCAAAATCGGAATATTTTAAAAACTACAAAAATTTCTTAGGGGTTGTAAAACTGTCTTTTAAATAATATGACGATAAATACGTTTGTACTGTTATTGTTATTAAGAAAAGACAATTAGTTTATGCAATTAATCGACTGAAAAAAAAGGTTATAATGACTTGCATTTTATTATTACAATAGTGGAAATACTTTATGTATAGTAAGATGCTGGAATGATTTAAACTTCTACATATTAACGTAACCCTTAATTCTTCTTAAATTTTAAATAACAAAAAAGAAAGAACGATTGTTTTATTTCTTTATATTCTTTTTAATATAATAAAAAAAAATTGATTAAAATATAGTTTAAACTTTTAACTTATTTAATATTCGAAAAATACGCTGACAAAAATAAATTGATCAAGGTATTTTTTATGTTTCAATCAACAATTTTTAATAAATAAGCGTAAAGTTAACTATTCATAAATGAACTGAAAACAAACGCCGTTTAATTTCTTTTGTATGCAATATGTTCTACAATACTGACAGCTCTTTTACCTATTATCTTATTTTTAGGGCAACTTTAACAATTAGTTTTTGTCAACCAAGTCAATTTATAAATTTTATGAAATTATAATAAAGTATATGGCATGTGCTTTAAGTTTATTCCGCAAATACTAAGATGTTTACATTGTTTTACATTTTATCGTAAATCTAAGATTAACAAAAAAAATCAACCAAATTTCAAATTAATTATTTTTAGCTTAAATAAAATAATTTTTAACATAATATAAAGTTACTTCAGGAACATATTAAAATGTTTATAATGGAGAGAACACAAAAAAAATTCAACATAGAATCTGTCATGAAAATATTTTATAACCTGTTTTACTCTTCATTGAATTGTTATGAATAAAAAAAGCCTCTTTCGTATATTAATTAACATTAAATAAGAAACTTTTTATGTTTAATTCCAAAGAGTATATATATATAAAGAGATATTTAAATTTATTGTACTCGGTTTTACTTTTAAAATGTTTTATGCAATAAATAACCAAGTACCAAATGTCAACAATGAACCACAAACAAAGAAATTTCTCAGTGAATAAATATATAACTTTTTATGTACATTTACTAAAAGCTAATAACAAATATATTTGTAGCACGACTGAACACTCGAAATTGTAATTACTTATTTAAATATTATAAATCAATAGAATGTTCGTATAAAAAAATAATTTTTTTATTTTGGTCTATGTAAACAGATCTTTTCTCATAATATCATTACTTTCTTCCATTCTAGTGGGTATAAATACTCATATGTACTTATATCAATAATATCAGATTTCCTTTAAGTAATCTGCGTAACATAACTATTTAGTTATAGCTTTTTAACAAAAATAACACAGCCTTTAGTAAACGTTGCACTATAACAAAGAAAATATTAAAAACAACTGATTATTAATGAGCATTAGCATTGCATTTTAATTAACCTATCAATGTAAATTAATAAATCAATTTTTTACTCAAGATAAAGATTTTTTAAATTTATTTTAAAACTTAATACAACAAAATATCCCTATGGAATGTATATATGCTGCTAAAAATTAGCCTTATCATATTAATTATTTTTATTTATATCTAATGGCGATTTTTTAAAGTGAAAAAAAAACAACAATATATTACAGGGATGAGTAAATAAATAGAGCTAGGAAAAACTACATGACTACGTGTCCTTGACCCGATCAGTTTAACATGACCATTCAAGTAGGTAACCGAAATATTAAGTTCAAGGGCGGTTATTAAAATTACTGGGTTTGATTCCGTTAGCACTTAAATGTAGGGATCGTATTAATGACCACCTGTAACCTAATAATATTTTTTTATTGTATTATAATTTATAAATAGCTTACAGTTGTCTATTAGAGCTGTAACACTTAATCGTATAGATCTTCTTCATTAGTATTTACGCCTCTACATTCTTCACAGCGTGATATCAGTGAAATTAATAATGAGCTACCCATAACGTTACTCAGACACTTACCTGCATATAACTTGAATGTATTATTTTCAAATTAGTTTAAATTTTCTTCGTTGTTAAACTGACATACGTTAATTAGTTATATGAAATGTGTAATATTATAACGTAGTGGCGTTTTTTAGAAAAGGGAGATCCTTAAAATTTATGCTACGTATTGTAATATAATACGTCAAAGAAATTTTTTTAATTTTTTTATTCAATCCTATTGAAATTGCCCTCGGGAAGAAAATACGCTCGCCTCTATTATAACAATAGAAACAATTAACTAATTCTAATTATTTTATAAATAAAATAACAATTGAAATGAAAAAACCCTAAATACATAACGTTAAAATCTAGCGTCGTTGTCATTTGTAATATAATTTTAAGAATCAATAAAATTGCAATTTACTGTGCGAGCAATTGTATTTTAAAACAAAAATATAGGGGTTGAAAAAAATATTATTGTAAAATGAAATTTTTTTTAAATTGTGTGACTATAGGTTTTTTTTGTATTATCCCAATGTATTGAAAAATTTTCCTCAAGATGACTTTGTATTCGATACCATACTTAATACATTTACTAATAAAGATCACTTAGTATTGTGCTATTATAAAAATCTTAATAAAAATTATTGTAGTGCGCGTATCAAATATTTTATTTAACACCACAAATGCTATTTCAAGATTATTATCCTGATTTTGAACTTATTAAATAAAATTTTATACGAATTTTAATATAAACAAGAAAATTATAATAATCCACTGACGACGATAATAATGAACAACACAGTTGGCGTTTGTTTATGATGATAGATAATCACAACTGCACAATTCTATTACTCTGCCACTAGTTACTGATTACTTACTATAAAGAAATAACTGTCCAATGTTGTTGTCTACATATTTATAAATATATGTAAGCTTTTGCTTGAAAAGTTTTTTTCAGTATGTTTTTTTAATGAAAATAAAAATAACTACATCCATTGTATTATTATAAATATACATAGAAACCTTATTATTCAATAATTATCCACTTTCGTCTCAGAGTTTATAAATTGTAAATAGTGATGGAAAACAACAATGTCAAAACTTGAAAAAAAACATGGTTATAGTAGTTTAAAATATTAAATTGCTTAGTTAAAAATAACATTTGTTACTGAATTAATAATTGCTTATTTATTTATTTAAATTTGAAAATGATTATTTAAGTAAATGCAATTGTCTGAAAAAAGTTGTTCAGATAAAAATTGAAAATGACTGATGACAACGGACATCAACGACATCTGAAGAGTTCCTTAGAATTTAGCGTAACCTTAATCATTTCACAATACAAAATAAAGAATTCCGGAAGTCTGATTAGAAAATTTAGCGTAACCAAAGACCGAAACCTGTAACGTCAACGACATGATGGATATGCCAGATAGAAATTTTCAAAAACAAACATAATAGTAAATGTAAACACAACCGGTCTACCTCGTTAGGGTTTAACGAATTTGAAATTAAATCACAATTGTTAATTTACTACTAGAATATAAAGTTTGGTTATCTATGTTTTTTATTTCTTTTCCAAAAACCTTTCTTTAAATTTGTTATATTTTTTTTTTGTCAAATATTCTTTTAGCGATGTACATATACATGAAATATTATAACACTAGTTTAAGTTATTATTATTCACCGTGTGATGCCGACTAATTGTTATGTAAACTCTTAAGATCCGTATCGCCCACAGTCTATAGCCGGTATCTTATAGCGTTGGCCCATTTGCACTTGAAGAATGTAAAAGATGATGATGACATGGAATAAAACGTTCAATAGGCATACAGTTTGAATTCGTTTTCTATACCGGAACTATATCAGAACTTTCATTTATGAATGGTCTGGTGGTGTTTGGTAACCATCAATGAGACAAAATGATTCACCACGTGTTAATTCCGTTTTGATTTTTCATCATATTAGCTGAACAGGATTTTACTGTTTACATGATGCAATAACCGGTTCGGTTGTATAGTAAAAATACATCATGTATAAAATCGCATCATAACAGCAATTCAATTGAAGTCATCGATCGTACGCTTTGTTATTATTTTTATCTATGTAACGATTATTACTATATAAATCCATCACTTTCACCCAATGTTACATCCGGTCCATTGATTTGACCGTTGGTTAATCGATTTTTAACACGTTCCCGACGTTTACAACAATTTATAAAGAAAAAACATGAGAATGGACTGACTAATACTTAAAATAAAGAAAATTATTGAAAATCATCATTGATATTTTTTTGGGTGAACATTAACACTACATTTTTCCGTATTTTCTAAATACCAAATATATTATGATTAAAACTTAAACAAAGGATAAATATACTTCGTTAATATAATTAGTATACAATATATAATTTTAACTCAACTAGTATTGTATTTTGCGTTAAACAAAAACATCTAAGATTTTACCTCGAGTGGATTTACTTAAAGATTGTTATTCTTAACCCAACAAATTTTATCGATAAGATGTAACTTTTGAAAACTTAATCAATGCATTGATCGGTTTGGTTCAATACGTCTTTTACTTTTTTTAATGGTCCTATCAATAGATTTGTCATAAAAAATAAAATTTTTAATCATGAATGTGTTAAAGCCTTCGTGGATTGTCGTATTGCTTGAAATGTTTGCGGATGTAACCACGTTTTCAGTTATGAGCTGACGTTTCAGACTCGTTGCAGAGTCCATCTTCAAAGCGATAGATACATGCTCGTGGTTGTAACTATACTAATATAGTAAGACTTAAATACATTAAATGCTTAAACGTTTTAGCACATTATCAAATTTATTTCCAAAAATTATAAAGAAATGTTTAAGTAATGAATAAAAAGTAAAGGCTATATTTTGTCCCACCCTAATAAAGTTTTTTTATATATTACTATATATAATTTTCTACATTTTTCAAGAACTACGCTCCCCTAACCTACCTTTTTTTACCCGTGAACTTTAAAATACCATGTGAAAATTTTGTATGAACACTATGAGATCTATGAACAAGTCGTAAATATTAAATCGGGAATTCTTCTAGAATTATTATTTAGAAATCTCGCTGAATAATACGTAAAATGACGTATATGACTTGGTTATTAAAGTTACATAGTTATTATTGGAATGCTGATTCAAATTCATCTAGACAGTTCTTCGTTGCCCTTTTTTATACGATTGGCTATTTAATAGCCTTACTATTATAGCTTTTATGATTTTTAAATATAAAAAATATTGTATAATAATAATAATAATATTATTTTTATTTTATCACTTTTTTAATTATTAATAGAATATGAAAAAGAGAAAATTATCTCATGTCACTACATAATACGATCATAATATTTTACTCTCAAGTTTTATATTAAATATATGAAACCTAATAGTTTATAAATTTAAAGTATACTCCATTTGATCTGTACGTACACAGCAATCATTGTAGAAAAATATCAAACATACACATTTTCATCTATGATAATGATACACATGAACTAATTTAGCTTAGGATATTTCAGTTCGAGAATTTTACAATTATTGTATAGAAAATATTGTTTTTCAGCATAATTGGTTGACACGTGACAGCACGTTTCCGTTTTTTGCTTTCTATTGTTCTGTGCGTGGTAAACATAACATAGTGCATCCATAGTATAAACGTGCCAAAGAAAAACAACTACGATGTAACTGATTTCATTTGTCTCCTTTATGATTAAGACGTTTGTAAAAAATAGAATATTTTTATTTAATACATTGGTATTGTGATATGAACCCATTTTTTTTAACTCTCAAGTCAATAAGCAAATGAGAGCCAATATTTTAATATTCAGATTATGTGTTAAAAGTTTCAATTGGCAAACATTAAATTAATTTTATATTTGCAGGCACACGCCTCTGAATATCCGGGCGTTTGTCAAAGTACTACAATATGCCACAGCAAACATTAAAAATATAGGACAAGTGACTTCGATAGTCGTTAAGAAAGACCAATCCCATTGTTTCGACGTCTTCGAGTAATGATTTTGCGACAGCTAATGCATTAGTAGGGGCCATAGGGAGAACGAGCAATGGACAATGATTTAAATACTACCTACAGACATTTAATTGCGTTATATAGATTATTGCTATTCGTTTCAGTCGAATGACATACGATATTTTTTAGTTTTTAAACAAAAAATACTTCAAAAGTCACCTTTTAATAAAAATATAGTTTAAGATTTTGAACAATCTTCAATGAATTAACTTGGAATGTGACAAATGGATTATTAAAATTCATTAAATTATATCGTACTATAATATAACCAGAATTCACTGGATAAAAGTTCTATTCTAAATGTATTAAATAGTTAATTTAAAATTTCTAGAATTTTATTAGATTCTATGAAATATATCTCATTTTTCGGCATCATCGGTCAAAAGAAAAAACATTTAATCATATTCAAACCGTTACCATGAAAAAATGTCAAAATATTTACTCTCGCCTTGTCTTTTTGTTACTTATAATACTTATTACTAGAATAAATTGTTGTAGTCTACGAAGCTTCTGAAAGATAGGCGTTAATATTCTGACAAGTCCAATGGTTTGAAGCTTCGAGTGAAATAAAGAAAAATTAAATACTTTGTAAGTACCTGTAGCTTATTTAGAAATGTGAGCGTTTTCCATTATACGGTCACCATAGTTTATTACTTACATTATTATATCCATACACATAATCGTGTAGAATTGAGGGTGTGCGTGTGTGAGTGCACTGCTATGTTATAGTGTACGCACAAGGTCAAGGTTGTTCGTATTACTGTTAGCATCACGTAATTTCACTAGAAACTCTGGGAATACGAGTTTTATACATTTAAAAAACATAGCGTAGGTTTACTTTGATTTAAAATAGTCCTGATCGGTTCGGTTCGAGAGACTAGATGATTGTCACTTCACTCTATAGACATTCACCTCTTTAAATGCTTTTTGTCGTATTATAGAAAATAAGAAAAACAACATCGTCACTTAAAATTTATACAATGCAACCTAGAATCTTCCTTTCGACACAGGGCTTTTTTAGAAGACAAGTTATAAAGTGAAATCAGGATTCATTTAAAAATGTATTACCTGTCGATATGATCAAACTAAAGATAGGACATAGATTCAATTATATATTGACTGTACTGAAACATGATATTTTTTCGTTTCAATGTACTGTGATATTTTATTTGAGTTTTTATTAATTACATTATTATTTTTGTTTTGATAGGGAATGTTAAAACGCATGATCTAATGAATTTTTTGCTAGGTTATAGGCGAATGCGTGTGCAGAATGGCTGACACATACAACCCACGTTATTGATGAATGTCTATGACATATACTGATGAGAGCTGTCTGTTGGTTATTATAATTATAATAAGGCTAAAGGTTAACAAAAATCAAAGTCAATCCTTTTAAAGGTCAAAATGTACACACGCATTTAAAAATTGTAGACTAAATTTCTAAGACAAACTTATCATATCATATAATATATTAAATAGAATAAATTTTAACAAATCTAACATTCTCTGAAGTTTCTAGAGATTTATTAATGTAATAAAGAAAAATAAAATGTTAAGTATAAACATTTTATTAACATTTAATAAACACCAAATTTTATGATATTTAATTAGACTTCTTGAAAAATTCAAATAAAATACAAATTTTTGTAAAATTTCCTTTATGGATAGAATAATTTCAAAGAATAATATTTGATTTGCCTTTGTAAAAGAGAAACTAAACTTTTTTATTTGTAATTTAAATAGTTAACTCTTTTTTTTTTTTCATTAGTATATTTAATCTGTTTCAAAATTCTATTCATAAAAATTTACATAAATGTATAATATTCATCGATATTTAAGTTATGTTGAGGTTATTGTTTTAACAAGAAAAACATTATGACCACAATAATTTATGGCAGCAGTCCATTTAATGTTCCTGTATCTAATCATTGCTTCTATAAGTGGCACAAAAACATTTATGGGTCTCGTAAATTGAATATGTTTGAAATACTCGATTGAGTACGTGTGCTAATATTCAATTACTTAGTGCGAAATGGCTTTTGATTTTTAAACTATCAGTTCTGTTAAAAATCTTTGTCCAACTCAAAACATTTAGTTTTTAATTGATAGCCGATATTATTTTATGGATAATGACACTGTAAATGCAATTATTTATACGGCCAATTGACCACAATGAAATGTAAATTTTTGCGATCTATATGAATTTATGGAGATCATTGAAATTTATTTCATTTGCAAGTTAAATAATTTTAAAATTATGAAAAATATTAATATAAATCTTGTTCTTACATTGGTATGTATGTCATTTAAAATTAACTAAATGTTATTTTGATTATCAAATTTTTTTATTTTATTATTAGTCTGCGCTTAAATATAAAGGTATATTGCTGAAAATATGGTATCTTGTACTTTTGAAAAAAGTTTAAATTGTGACAATAACATAAACAAAAAAGAATTATTTTCATTAAGTTAATTTTCCCTAACATTTACTTTGCGGTAGTTACGACTAATATAACACACAATAGAAGGATATAAGTTTTCAAAAAAAAAAACAAAAACAAAATATAAGTACGCTAATTAAGAAAATTTAATTAATATGACAAATAATTATTTTTTTGTTTAATTAATGTTTCTAATGAATAGTTAAAAAAAAAAAAAATTATTAACAAATAAAATGTATTAATTTAAATGTATTATATACTTTTTAAACATTTATTCAACACTATTTAAATATTATCAATTTTAAAATGAAAACATAGCTGAAGCTAATTCACATTATTACTTAACTTTAAAAACTTCAACAATATCAATTTAATGTATTCACAAACATTTATTTTCCAAGTATAAACTAACTGTTAATAAAATCTTTAAAATGAGAAGTTAAGTTAAATATTATTAGCTCTACTCTGTACCAATTCTAACTAATAGAATGAATTTTGACCTGAGACTTATGATGTTAATGATATTCGCCTAGTGATTGAGTCTAAAAGGAATGCGGTTGTACCACGGGATAGTGACAATACTGTACGACCACCCAGTTTAAGATAGGTGTTTATAGAGGTGTACAAAGATAAAAAAACGAAATAATAATAATACAATATAATAGCAATATATAATATTATTCACTTTCTAACGACGACCAAGGGGCGAGGCCTCAGCTTCAGTAACTCTGGTGGGGAAAGCCCGGGATGACACACGCCGCGCTGCATTAAACGGCTGTGGGGCGATATATAGGGACCACCGTCTGTATTTCGCCCCATTGTGTTACCGATCTTCCATTTGAACTCATCGTGAGCTTCGTTGTACATCGTTGTACATCGTTTTAGTGCCGTTGTTCGTTATTTTTTATAATAATTAAACATGCGTTTCTCGTGTAGTGTTGTGTTAGCCGTTGCCGTCTTACCGTATTGCTTAAACGCTGCCGTCGTGTCCGGCCGACAAAATCAAATTACCGAAGGAGATCGAGAAGGTCGTTCAATTAATGACGGTAATTGGGCTCTTGTAACTAAAATTTCAGAGGAATGCGCAAAGGATCAGGATACTACTGCTTGTTTGGCTGTTAAGGCAGCAGCTGCTTTTGAAAGGGCTGCTCGTCTTGGAGATGTCCAAGTATTCCCAGGAGTAATGCTCGCCAAAAATTCAGTAGATTCTCAACGTGATTCCCGTGCTTTGCCTACCGAAGAAGAACTCCGTGGTCAATTGCCCGAAGATGCCGAAGAAAAGACTTCCAAAGTTACTGGAATGGTCGTCGACTCAGCCCTTAGATTTTTACAATCACGAACTCTTCAATTACAATTCCCTCAAACTAATGCTGAAGAACTTTCTAGGGCTATTGAAGAAGGTAAAAATAACAACTTGTATTAATTAAATCGTTAAAAAATTACAATTTTATATTTAATGTAATGCACTTATTTAATTTCCAAACTATAAATTATGATCTTTAATAAATTACTCTGAATTAATTAATTTAATATAGATGATTAATTAGTAGTTTTATATTTTCAGGCCGCGGTAAATTGAAGAAGAAGGTATTGCCTATTGTTGGTTTATTGGCTGTTAAAATCTTCGCTATACTTCCAGTTCTTTTGGGAATAATTGGATTTTTCGCTTTAAAAGCTTTAGTATTCGGAAAATTAGCTCTACTCATCGCTGGTGTCTTAGCTTTACAAAAATTCGCTGGATCGTCAAGTGGATTCGGTAAAATCGCTGAAGGATGGAGTGGCGCTAGTGCCGGTGCTTCCTGGCCATCATCCGGCTCTCCTAGTAACGGTGGTTACTACAGGCGTAGCATGGAAGCACAACAAATGGCCTACAATGGACAATTACAGCCTTCTGTTGTTTCTCCAACATCTGCGTAATAAGTGCTAATTCCATTTCAAATCTTTTTTAGACAATTTTTTTTAATTTATGATGATTTTTAAAAATTTTTTTACTATAAATATTATTGTAATTAGAATAATTGAGTAGAGCGGGTTATGAAGTAACCAATTTAAAATTATATTGTAAGTCAGTTTAATCTTGCCAAACTTACCAACAATATAATAAGATAAAAATGTAGGTTGATGCTCTATTGGGGCCGAGTAACTTTTTGCCATATTAGCATTAAGTTTTTACCATTAACGAATGTAAATGACTTTTTAATTTTTACAAAAATTAACATCTGTTAAAAAGTTATCGGCTTATATTTGGCCATTGTGGCTGATTTATTTTAAACACAAAAATAATTAGATTATTACGTGTAAACTCTACGAGTTAATCTATAATTTTTTTTTTTTACTTAGTAAATTAATTTGATAAAAATATGTATGCATGTCAATTAATTAAAGCATTGTAAATACTTATGAATGTCATAATATATATTTATATAATTATTGACTATAACAAAGTCTCAAATATTATTTTATACTTCCTAAAAAAATAAATAACCAGAATACGTAAGGGTATTTGATGTGAACAAATTTACTAGAAGCAATGTCTAACTCACAGCATGTTAAAAACAATACCCGGTGAGAGTGGTTGATTGAACATAAAAATAACACGTCGTGTTTGCTATTTGCAATGTACGAATTTATTGTTTGATTTTTCTTAATTGACTTGTAAAAGAAAATATGTTAGCGGAGAGAAACTTCTGACAATTCGTTTCAATAGGTAGTTCGTGAAATTATTTTATAAATATGCCCTATTGGCTTATTATACATGTCAACTATGTTTTAAATGACACATTGATTACAAATTGAATTAAGTTGTAACTTCATTTCGGTAGTACAATTGGTTTTGTATTCTATAGATGATTTCAACTAATTTTAATTGGTTTTAATTTATGTTATTGGCCTAAAAAAAATGCAATAATACATTCAGATGTATAAAAATAAATAAAAACATCAATTAACTCAACTAGTAATATTTTAAATCAATCAATGTATCAAAACTATATGATTTAATACTATGAAATTGATAATTAAATTAAATTAGGGTAGAAGCACTAATATAAGAAAATTTCAATTTTTCTACAATAATGACCTTAATAATACAAACTAAATAAAAATTAAATTATGTGACTTTTATCCTAAAACCTAATAGGAATCATCGCAAATCATATACATTTTTATAGATTTTCATAAACAGACCTATAGACAATATGTTTCTTTGAATAGAATAATTTCAAATAACTTAATATTTTAATTATATTATGCCCATAAGCAAATTATACAGAGTGATCAGTAAGGAAACAGGTCAATTGTTATAAACAATGAGAACACTTTACCTGTTTCCTCACTTATTGAACACTTGTATATATATTCATCATCTATAAACTATTAAATATTTTAAATTTAAGCAAAGAGAAAAATGATATTGTTATAAAAACTTTCAATCCTTTTTTTTGACCGAACAAAAGTCTCATTGTTTTATATCATATTTTTAATTAAAAATAAGGGTTTAGACTTAAATAAATTAAAGTTAAGGTTTTTATTTCTGGATAAAAAAACAATTGTTTATAACATTAAAATTAAAGAGTTTTTTAAAACCAAATAATTTTTCTATTTACGAAAATAAAAAATGTTCCATAGTTTTTGATAAAATAGGTGTCTTATTCTTATATCACCCAAGATATAGACATCAAAAAGTCATAATAATAATAATAATTAAATTAAATTAAAATACAATATAATAGATTACAAGATAGATCACTTTCTCTTTATCTTTATTATTAGCTAAAATAATTATCGAAATCACATTCACAAATACTCATTATTAAAATTCGTACTATGCTATTATGTAAAATATACTTACAATAACACAATACTTAAAACACAAGGTGTGAAGTAGATTTTTTAAGTTCAGTTTTAAGACATATTTGTTAAACAGTCAAAGTACTATCAAAAAATATATTACTGAAAAAATATAAAATTGCTAATTATATCTTCTTTGTACTATTTATTCCGTGTCCATTTTTAATTCATTCATTATTCATTTCAATAAAAATAGTTAAAAACTAATGACGGCTTAATAAGGTAATTCAAAAATGTGACAGAAACAGAAGACAGATACACTTTGATTATTATTATTGTATTATAAATTATTTTCAAATTGATTGACTGTGCATTATATGTTCAAGGCTGTGTGGAAATTTTGTCATTATTATGTAAATAAATAAATTATACGTATATTTTAAAATCATACTTTAATCACTTTCTTTTAATAAAATTTGTAAACTGAATAAAAATAAACAATTTTCTCACATATGAGGAAAATTATAGATTTATGTTTTCATAAAGCTATTCAATTTTTTTTAATTCAAAATCGATGCATTAAATATTAACAATTTATTAATCGTTCCTACTTCTTTAATAAATTGTAATTTTTAAAATCAAGCTAAAATTTTTTATGATGGTACAAAAAAGTAAAAACGAAAGCAATTAAAACGTAATTTTCTTTGATTTAAATATTCTCGTTTATTATTTAACCTTTAAAAATTATAATATTGAAAAATTGTGCTGAAATTTATGTCAACATTTTGTTTGGATATCTAAATTAAATTATGTTTTATTTAATTTTGAATAAAAAATTATACAATAGATTAATGTCAGTTAGTAGTTTAATCATTTAAGATTAATTAAGCTTTATCATAATTTCAAAATTTCACTTTATCTGTTAAAAATTTTTTTTACTTATTATAATTGATCCACTACTTTCTATTGGTTCAAATTTAAATATTCTTTTAATATAAAAGTAACGGAAAATTTATATATTTTTAAATATTATGTCAGTATTACGGTGCACTTTTTTTGTGAAGTAGCTTGTAGTATTAATTAATCAGTGTCACGATGACTTGGGTGCACAACTCAAAATCAAAAGTGTGACTCGTAAAAAGTAGCGTATTATTTGTGCCTTATTTGAGAAACCTAAAAATTCTTTTGTTGCCAATCGCAGCATTTGGTCGAGATTGTTATTTTTCTTTCTCAACATTATTTTCTATGATGAAAAATAAATTAGTGGTTAATTGAGTTGAACAAGCTCTGTTTGTAGCTATTCCGTTTAACATCAAATTACTGAATAGTAAACTAAGTTAGAAGGATACATTTATTTTCCAACGACACGGGTAAAAATGGCATTCGAGCTAATACGCTTTACAAACCATTAACTGCTAAAGTCAGAGGTGCCATTGTTTAACTAAAAGATTTGATAAATCGACCGAATCTATAACAGTTCTTAAGCTAATTTGAGTAATCACATTAATATCACTATTGTTAGGTCTAATGAAATTTATTATTAATATAAGTAACCTAAAATTATTTTTAATTATATTTCACAATACAATTTGTTTAACTGCTTAAGTGGAGCTATTACAATATTTCTTATTCTTTACTATATTTAGTGAACACAATGTATTCTATGGATTTACTATTTATTTATTTTTATTCTTTCATTTAATAGACAAATATTCTTTACTTAATCATTCCCCTGTTTTAGCTTCGATGCGAAACTGTGAAGGTATTAATTATACTATGATGTGTTTATTTTTATCTATTTATTTTTTGTGTCTCTTACCACTTATTCTCTGCTCTCACTGGATCGATTTTGATGAACAATATGTCAATATACCACAAATCGTATCTAATCGTATACAATATCCTCAAAAATTGAACAAATTCTCTCATTCCCGTAATTAAGGGACATTTATAAAAAAAATTACAACACTAAAAATAAGTAATTTTCGACATTTTTCACCTTTTTTTACTTAAAACTATCATTAAAACTTTTTGAAAAATGGATAAATAGAACAATTTTTTTTTAAGATACATTAGATATTTACTCATCGTTTGGTATATATATTTTTTAAATTTGACCCTTTTGAATCCCCCCTATGAATGCCCACAAGGGGATTCAAAATGATAAATTTTCCACAAATAATTAACTTAATCAACAAAATTTTACACTTTTATACATATCTTAAATTAGAAATTTCGAAATTTATTGTCTTCATGGTGAAAACGGCTACCGTATTCAAAAATATATTATTGTTGTGTAATAGTCCCGATTTTATATTTTATATTTTTAACTTTATATTTCTTTAACATTTCGAAAAATGTATGGATCAACACAATTTTTATATGATAAATACTATTTATATACTTCCTTCATTTGAAATATCTTTTTTTTTTAACAGACATTTTCATTTATACAGGGGGGTTAAAAAATGAAAACTGCGTATAGAAAATAGAATTTTTTAAACTTAATTTTTGAAAGCGTTCCGGAAATATTGACGTTTTTATACATATCTTAATTTAGAGCTTATGTAATATACTTTAGTATAGAAAATAAAATGTCAAACTTTACGTTGTTTTCTTGGTGAAAATGGCTACCGTATTAAAAAATATACTATTTTTGTGTCAAAATACTCGGATTAGTATTTTATTTTATTTTAATATACCTTACAAGGGTAGTACACTAATTTTCATAAATATTATATAAATATAATTTTACTATGATGTGTTTTTTTTGTGACTGTTATCACTTCTTCTCAACTTTCACCAAACCGATTTTTTTAATACTATTACGATTTGGATTTTGATTTTAAGCAAATCATCAACCTTCAACTGAACCAATTTTATATGGAAATCAACAGTACGAATAAAAAACTAAAATTTTATATAAAGAAAAAAGTGTATTTTTAATAATTTATTTATTTACTTATCATAAATTATGAATTAACAAATAAATTAATTCATTATTTGTTATTTATATTTTTACTGTGTAATATATACTAAATACTTATTCTATGTTTAATCCATCATCAAACCATTGTGTGATTCTTCTTTTTTTTATTATATAAATATATATTAATATTATGTAAATATAATTGAAATAGCATAGAAAGTTTAATTTATTTTAATTTTTTTTTTTACTTCTTTTAAGTCGAGAAAAATAAAATTGAAATTTGAACTAGCTTAAATTGCCATTTTTATCCTTTAAAAATGTGACGTACGATTTCCAAATCAGTAACACTTGTGTATATCACACTTTGGGTACGAAGTTCGAACTCGCTTGTACCCCCAAATTTTTTTCTTAATTCTTTTTGTGAGTTTGAAAAAATTGTTTACTCATTTTATTTTTACCTCTTTTAGATTCAATTATTTCTATGAATGTCAAGAACTCCATCACTGTAATCTTCCCTCGTTTTTGTAGGCTGACAAAATCCCATCTGCTATATCATTAATACTTATCCCAATGTTACGACCCTACTCTTTTGGATTCTTTTACTCACATATATACATGAATANGAAGAAATTTCTCATTCCTATTAAAATTATTTGACTTTGTAATTTTTTTTTGTGGCTTTCATTTATCTCTCA